AAAAAAAAAAAGAGGCAATAAAGGACACAGGAGATCACCTGTCTTTCCCCAGCAGAGCACTTGACAGATTAGAACTATCTGCCTTTGGGTTAACAGAGCAACTCCTTACCACTATAGTGTGATCGCTCCTTCAGGAGTGAGCGAAACTCATACCAAATGACATTTCCCATGTTGCATAACTAATATGAAGGACTCTTGGGGACTGTATTGGCCAATTCAAACAGTAAAAAGGCCATGTGATGGGAATGAAAGGATTATTGACTGGGGTTTGGTGAGAGAAATACAAGCTTCTCTTCTTGAAGCATTTAGTAAAAACAGTGCAGTAAAGACAATTTCTTCCAATAATTTATGTATTTAGATTTAAATTTTGCTTTGGCTGTAACAAGTATTATTAAAAGTTCTTCATGTATTATAATGATTGAACCAAGTTTAAAGACTAAGTCTTGTTGGGGTAAATGGAAGGGCAAAAAAAATTCTTAAATATTAAAAATGTATCTGTATCTTTTTGGGCAGCCCTACACTAGTTATATAATTGAGTTCTATAAGTACTTTAAAGTCTTCTGGAAATTCAAATATGATCATATCATCTATTAATGAAAATATCATATCTTCTAGAATTCAGCTGAGAAGCCATCAATCAAACAATCAAGGGGAAATGTACATAAGTAATAATACAGGAATAATTGTGCCAGATAGTATGATATCTGGTTTAAAAAATCAAAGTTTCAGATCAAGTTTGGCTCAAGTCTTGGCTGGTAACAGGCTGGCAACACAGCTATTTGTATTGGAGATGCCTCCTGGTAGACTACACAGGTGATAAGTATAAGAACATACATTTCCTTTTTTTCCTTTTTGCCTTTAAGTTGGAGACCAAACTTACCGTATTAAAATACTCCATTCCAGATCTGCCAAAAGCTTCTGCAATTTCTCTGGTTGTTACTACACATGCCATTGGGTGGCCATTGCCCATTGGTTTTCCCATTGTGACAATGTCAGGAACAAAGTCTTTGCCATTCATTTGGAAACTCCAGAAATGTTTCCCAACCCGGCCAAAGCCAACTTGAACTTCATCAGCTATAAATACACCCCCTGCTTCATGTACATATCTGAAAAGCAAAGGAACATTCTACTGCTTTTAGGTCACCAAGAATCCCCCAAATCATTCATAAAAGTACAGATTATTGAAGACTTAAAGAGAGTTCAATTTATAGCCTGTAATCTTCATTAAAAACACTTCTATAAACAGTAGAAGGACAGAAACTGTAAGTCACAAATTTGTGATTGACACTGATTAGAAAGGCACTTGAATAAAGCAAGTTAAAATTGAAAAAAGTGAAAAAAAAACACTTCTATATGCAAACTCTCAGTGATACCTGTATGATCTCAGCGACTTTGTCATACATATTCAATGTCTAGATTCGATAATTCAATGTCTAGATTGGATTTATTCCACAGGCTTGAATTTTATAGGGTCACTACGAATTGTGGTCAAAATGACGGCACCCAATAACAACAACAACAATACCTGGGCTTATGCTGCTAAAAGTATATAGTCTTATAAGAAAGAATTGAGGAAGAAGTAATTTTAAGAAGGGTTAATTTAAAAATAGCTACTAATTGGTAATGATTGGCTATCTGGGTACCTCTGAGGAGAAGACACTGTCAATCAGCGAGATGGAGCAGAAACTTGAGTCTTTTCAATTCCTGATATCCCCAACTCCCACAGGACTAGAAAACCCATCAGTTGATAGGAAATTTACCCTAACTCTTGAACCACCATCTGCATGATACAGTAGAAGTATGCATCATAAGATTTTTGATGGTTAATTTTTATTTAAAAAATAGATTTCCAGATCTTTCTTTGGAGGTACCTCCGGGTAGACTTGAACGTCTAGATTTTGGTTAGTTGTCCAGCATGATATCCATTTGCACTACCCAGGCACTCCATCAGACCAGGTATGAACCCTTTATTTGCTGGATCATGGAAAGGTGGAGGAGTGTCTATGATGCTGGACTTGCTTGCTATTTAACCAGCTAATCTAAACGTATTTTTAAAACTAGTATGGCCCCACAGAATTATACTTTCTTTGGTTTTTGTAGAAAAAAACCCCAACACCCCAACCAAAAACTGCCACTGTGCTCTCAATTTGACCAAGGATGACCAAGTCAAGTACATACTCTGCCACTTTCTGGAAGTAGCCTGCTGGAGGAATTATTTGTCCGCCACAACTCTGCATGGATTCAGCAATAAAAGCAGCAATCTACACAAAAGAAGATGGAGTCAAAGTCCATTAGGTCTCCCTTCTATCCACTAAAATAAGAGGATTTCTTATAGAGCAGGTTATTTAAAAAATTGTTGAGAATAGAACAGTGGCAAATTTTAAGGCTATTTGGTTAAAACAAAAAGAAGAGAAAAGCTATCTATATTAGAGACACTAGTGCTCTGGTGGCCTAGTGAGTAAGGAGTTGTCCTACTAATCTAAAGCCTAGTGGTTCAAGCTTACCAGCAGCTCCGAGGAAGAAAGAGGGGTAATCTCCTCATAGTAATTTACAGTCTCTGAAAATCTGCTGGAGGATCCAGCTATGAATTGGTTCTGACTCCATGACAATGAGTGAGTGAGTGGCAGCTCTGGTTGCTACAGCTCTGGTTTCTGGTTTCTTTCTCATATCTGAACATATAGTCTATAGATGTGAGATAGACCCTTAAATTTGATAGCAGAAATATCTAACTCAATAGCTTCATTTTACAGATAAGTAAATGAAATAAAAAATAAAGGACTTAATTAATATAGTTTATTCTAAGGGGTTACAGGTCTTTCATTCATAGCGTCACTATGAGTTGTCTAAGACTCAACAGTACTTAACACTTAGCAACAATCTCATATCTGTGTGTAGTTTTAAGCATTGTCAGCATCACTGATGACCTCTGTCTTAGTTCTTCATGAAGATACTTCTTGTTTATTAAAGGACAGCATCAATTCAGTAACTATTAAATGCTGTCCTTGTGTGCCATCGAGTTGGAATCAAGTCATAACTGACCCTCTAGTGGGTTTTCAGAGGTAGTAAATTACACAGGAGGAGACAGTCCATCCTTCTCCCACGGAGCAAATGGTGGATTTAAACTGTGTGCCTTTGAGATTGCAGTGCAACTTCTTACTAGTCCAACTTTTTATGCCACCAGTTGTTGTTGTTGTTTGTCTGTACCATCGAGCCAGAACCAACCTATAGCTGACCTTCCAGCAGGTTTTCGGAGGTGGTTAATCAGAAGGAAGGAAACTGCCCATCCTTCTCCTGCAGAGCCACTGGTGAATTTGAAGCACATGCTTCTTGCCTGCCATTAGGCAACCAGAGCTCCCATTTAAATGTTAATGTTTTCAAAAATTATGCAAACTCATTTTTTTTTTAGAAGCAAAAACGTGTAAGTGATCTGTGATACTTTTTTCTGTGTTTGTTGGTTAGAGAAGTACAAGCTATGGGGGGATGGACAGGGAGGAAAATGTGCAACAATGAATGAATAGAAATCCAAGTTCTCCATAAACTTCCATTAAAATCTCAATTACAAAAAATGTTTCTGGAAACAATAAATTAAAAATTTTCATTAAAAAAGACGTATAAGCTACATTTGAAAAGGAAAATAGTATGAAATTCCTCACAATAGGTAGCATTTTAGGTCATGTTTTTCTCTGCACAGATATATCTTGAAGGCAGCTATTAAAAATTGAGTGGTTTGGAAGGAAAAAGAACAAGGTTGAAAGACACAAATGATGGGCCTGTCAGTAAAACAAAAATATTTCAGTTTATTGGAAAAAGGAAGGCCTTGCTTTTATCTCAATGAAGAGTCTTTTCATTACCACGTTTATATCTGATGCCTCTTTAAAGGTAAGGCCTATGCCAAGATGCATTCAACTCCGTGCAACTGATCCCTAAATGGGCTGAGAATTAGAGTAAAAATTTAAGAAATGGAAACTCTCTTTCTTGTTCTGAAGGATTCTGATTCTGTTTCAGAAATCCAGGCCCAAATTGAAAGAACAATTTTCTGCCTTGGTCTAATCAGGATAGACCATCCCGGTTTCCATTATTTAGAAAGGCTGCATTCCCAAGGGAAGAAGCCTAAAGGCTCTTGTGGGTCTGGAGTCTTCACTGGTCCCAACAGGAAAGATTATCAATAAGCAAGGTTGTTGTTATGTGCAGTCGAGTTGTTTGCGACTCATAGCAACCCTATGTACAACAGC